ATTTTTTGGTTGCAGCCATCATTGTTGTTTGGTGGGCCCGGGCTGGGGATTCGAATCCCCCACCTTAGGTGTATGTGGCTGGCGCCTTAGCCGCTTGAGCCACAGGAGCCGAGCCTGTTTTTTCTCTTTTTGATACAGGGTCTCACTCTGTCACCCTGGCTGGATTGCAGTGACACAATAATTGCTCATTGCAATTTTGAACTCTTGGATTTGAGCCTCTTGCCTCAGACTATGAAGTAGTTGGACTACAGGCCCATACCACCACATCTGGCTAATTTCGGGCCGAGGGGACGGGGTAAAGACAAGGTCTCACTATATTGTCCAGGTTGGTTTCAATCTTAATAGACTTGAGAACTTTACAGTGAATTTGGAGGAAAGGACTTGTGGAGAAAAGGTAAATTCTCTTTGTTTTGCTTTTCTCTATACAACTGATTTTTCTTTTTTTATAAGAATAGGCCCTTTTGGCTAGGTGTGGTGGCTCACACCTGTAATCCTAGCACTCTTGAGAGGCCAAGGTGGGTGGATCACCTGAGTTTAGGAGTTTGAGACCACCCTGAGAAAAGTGAGGACCCGTCTCTACTAAAAATTGAAAAGATAGACCAAGTATGGTGGCTCACGCCTGTAATCCTAGCACTTTGGGAGGCTGGCTGGGATTACAGGCATGAGCCACCGTACTCGGCCTAGCCTGAGCAAGAGCAAGACCTTATCTTTGAAAAAAATAGAAAATAGCTGGGTGTTGTGCTGGGCTCCTAGAGTCCCACCTACTTAGGAGGCTGAGGCAAGAAAATCACCTGAGCTCTAGAGTTTGAGGTTGCTGTGAGCTGTGATGCTACAACACTCTACCAATGGTGACAAAATGAGACTGTCTTCAAAATAAATAAGTAAATTAAAAAATGCAAAATGGGAAAACTAGCTGGGTGTCATGGTGGACACCTGTAGTCCTAGTTACTGAGGAGGCCAGGACAAGAGTACTGCTTGAGCCCAAGAGTTTGAGGTTGCTGAGAACTATGATGCCAGGTCTGTCACTCTACCCAGGGTGACAGAGTGAGACACTTATCTCAAAAAAAAAAAAAGATGATTTTGTTGATTTCAGTGAAAAATAATTTTCTTAGGCAGTTTTGTGGCTCAGTGAGTAGGGCGCCAGCCCCATATACCGAGAGTGGCGGGTTCAAACCTGGCCGAAGCCAAACCTCAACAAAAATTAGCTGGGCGTTGTGGCGGGTGCCTGTAGTTCCAACTACTCGGGAGGCTAAGGCAAGAGAATCGCCTAAGCCGAAGAACTGGAGGTTGCTGTGAGCTGTGACGCCGCAGCCCTCTACCAAGGGCAATAGAGTGAGACTATGTCTTTAAAAAATAAATAAATAATTTTCTCTAACATCCCAAATTAAAATCTTCTTAAATTAGTAAAGGCGATGGTAGCTAAGATTTAATGCTGGTGTGCCAGAGATCTTGCATCTCTATCACTTTACTTTTTTTTTTTAATTACTTCTTCCTCCTGTAGTGTTTTCTTGCCCCCCATGGAGCTGGCATCACAAGGTCCGGCTGTCTTGTTGTCCTGTTGTTGTTGTAGAGACGGGGTCTCACTCTGGCTCATTTGGCTCAGGGGGGTCTTAGCTGGTCTCGAACCTCTGAGCACAGGTGATCCACCCGCCTCGGCCTCCCAC